CTCCTTTCTCTGTCTCCTTTTTTGTCTCCCTTGTCTCCTTTCTCTGTCTCCTTTTTATATTTATTTTTATTTCTCTCTGTCTCCTTTCTCTGTCTCCTTTTGTTTATCTTTTTCTGTCTCTTTTTTCTGTCTCTTTTTCTGTCTCCTTTCTCTGTCTCCTTTTTGTTTATTTATTTTTTTGTTTCTTTTTTTTATTTTGTTTCTTTTTTTATTTTTTTCTGTCTCCTCTGTCTCCTTTCTGTCTCCTTTTTTTAAATATCTGTCTCCTTTTTAATTTTCTTCTTTTTTTGTTTGTTGTTTTGTTTCCCTTTATTTATTTTTTGTCTCCTTTTGTTTACTTTTTTCTTCTTTTTATATATTTTTTTGTCTCTTTTTTTATTTTTTGTCTCCTTTCTAAACTTTTTTGTCTCCTTTTGTTTATTTTTGTCTCCTTTTATTTATTTTTTGTCTCTTTTTTAAGCTTTCTTGTTTCTTTTTGTTTATTTTTTGTCTCTTTTTATTTATTTTTTGTTTTTTTTTGTTTTAGGTTGTTCGTGGTGATCTCCGCGCTCACATAGAAGAGACAAAAGAAAGAAAAAAAGAAAAAGTAGCAGCAATAAAAAAACAAATTCTTGAAAAAGAAATGGGTTAGCAGCAGCAGCAGCAGCAGCAGCAGCAGCAGCAGCAGCAACAGCAGCAGCAGGAGTAGCAGCAGCAGCAGCAGCAGCAGCAGCAGCAGCAGTAGCAGTAGCAGTAGCAGCAACAGTAGTAGTAGTAGTAGTAGTAGTAGTAGCAGCAGCAGCAGTAGCAGCAGTAGCAGCAGCAGTAGCAGCAGTAGCAGCAGCAGCAGCAGCAGTAGCAGTAGCAGTAGCAGCAACAGTAGTAGTAGTAGCAGCAGCAGCAGCAGCAGTAGTTGTAGTAGCAGCAGCAGCAGCAGCAACAGCAGCAGCAGCACCAGTAGTAACAGTAGTCCTAGCAGCAGCAGCAGCAACAGCAGCAGCAGCAGCAACAGCAGCAACAACAGCAGCAGCAGCAGCAACAACAGAGTAGTACTAGTATCTTCTGCGACTGCTGTTTCCTTGTCCCCCCCTAAACCCTAAACCCTAAACAATAAACTCTAAACCCTAAACCCTAAACCCTAAACCCTAAACCCTAAA